CTCATCAATGCAATAAAAATCAAGTTTTTGAACCATTCAGTTCTATATGTTATATAGACAGAACGTATGCTAATATTTAAGTATGCGGAGTTTAGATGTACAGATTCCCATAGTTAGGCTCTTCTAGAGAGCGCTACTCTTAAGCTTCTATAACATAACCGTGTATTATATTGTCTAGTCTCATCACGCCACATATCCATCGCAGCATTCTCATCTCTGCTGTAGGCAAACATCTTTCACCCGCCTTTCTCATGACTCAGCACCCGAATCCACATAGAACGACAGGTCTAGCCATATTTTAACGTATTCTTCAAAGGAGTTCAATTGAATAAACATTACAAAAATACTCAATATGGTATTTCGATCTACAAAATCTATCCAAATGTTTTTCAAATTTCATCCCATAGCTAACATCCGTCCATACAATAACAGTTAGTTCTTTCCATCCGTGCATCTGTGGCTGGAGATGGCACGGTTGGAGGTGGATCACTGTATTGCCAAAGTTCTCACTGGCCATGGAAACTATAAAATCAAATTGTTCTTCTGTAAACTTGTGGATTTATCATGGTGTCAATGTTCGATAGCGGAGTTGCAATACGAGCAGTCCGCCCATCACACCCTTCGGGAGTATATGAACGCAAAATTCAATCTCGACCTTGTAGAATCTGAAACAAACCGTATATATCTATACTAATATTATAAAGCTGTAGAGTTTGTTTTTTGTTTGTTTGTTTGAACGCGCTTATCTCCGAAACTACTGGTCTGATTTGAAAAATTCTCTCTGTGTCGGATAGCACATTTATTGAGGTAGGCTATAAAATATCACGCTACGATTAATAGGCGCCGAGCAGAGCGAGTGAAACAGCGCGGAAGTAGCTAGTTAATAATAATAATGCAGTTAAAAAGACCACGTTTCGATATGTCCTACCTGTGATGAACTAAGCACTCGTGTTATTTATTTATTACTTTTTCTATTGAATATTACTACATAGCATTGTCTCACTCATCATCCTTTAGTTATCCTTGTAAACAGCTTACTTTCGACAACCACCGATGACAATAGGTCTTCAGTAAAAGTAATTAGATACGTGAACCTAGCAACATTGTTACAATGAAGGTGTAGGACAATGATGACGTCATCACATTGAAATTTCAAACCCGTATGAGTCTCATCGTTTGCGACATTTCGAAAAATGCATCTAATTACTTTTTATCGAATTCCTATTGTCTTCGATGGCGGTCTAACTGAATGATGAATGATATTAACTCGTCGAGTACCGTCATTATAGACACAATTATAGAACAATAGGTTGCGGTCACCGGTGACCGCTTGGTGTTTGACAGTTTAAATAAAAAATACCACATGTAGGTGCTAAAATAATGAATGACAAAATACTGAGTGATTTATTTACCCACCTAGATGTACCTGTATATTCATTGTTTCTTTGTTCTGCTCCTCGTGGGACAATACATAATATAATAATAAATGTGAAGCCGGGGTGTGTCGCTAGTATGTAGGTGAGCCTCGTAAAATAGATAAGCGGTGCGGTAGTCCAAGTCTCATGTAATAGACTTGTACCACCGCCCCGCTTGACTCGTTGACCAACCAAAATTGTACAAGATGCTATAGAAGTTGTGTTTGAACGAATTTTTAATGTATTTCGTGTTAGAATGTGTATTTCGTTGTAATATATGACACATACCAGTAATTTTTGAATAGTTTGAATAACACAGTAAAAGCAACTTCAAAACAATTTTTAATAAAAATAAGTAATGAAAAGAGATTGAAATTCAGAATTTGAAATAATTTACTAATTCTTAGCAATTTAGCTTTTTTTATTACTTAACATTCATTAAGATCCTTTTTATAATTAAGTAGCTTCTGCCTGCGACTTCGTATGCGCAATTTCGTATCTTTCCGTTCCTGCAGGATTTTCAGAAAATCCTCGTAAAGTATCTAATGCCCTTGTCCCGGTCCTAAGCTACCTTTCCACCAATTTTTATTTAAATCGATGTAGCAGTTCTTGAGTAATATACAAGGTGTTGTTTTGAAACCGTGGCATTTCTCGGGGACATGTCACAGAAGTCATAAAGGTTCAATGTAAGAGAAAGTTTCGGGCCAATAGTTAAAAATACGGCTATAATAAATCGTTTAAGTTCGACAGTATTTCAGAATAAGCAACAGCAATGTTTCTAATTGGAGTTTTATGGAATTAGGAGTAATATTAATTACGTGTTTGAGTTTGTGTGTGTTAAGCCGCGTTATAAAACTATGTAGTTACAAGACGGCGGCGTGTAGTTCGCACTTATGGATTTTCGTAATTTACAGAAAAATGAATAATATTTACCTATATTTTTTTTTATTGATTCGGACTCAGAATCGATATCCGTGTTACCTCCTAGTAAATGACGCGGCTTTAAAACAACACCTAGTAAAGTGTAACTAACACTACTTTCTTTTATATAGGAAGAAAGGAAATCCGTTTATTACACCACGACACTCACGCAGACAACAATACAAGAACACACAAAATGAAGTTCATGTTGCGTCGCAGCGCAATAGGTCGAAGCTTAGTTTAATGCTGTGCCCGGGCACGAGGGCTCGAGTCCACAGCAATGACTTTTAGCACCAGCTAGCTGTATGATGCAGTTAAATATGGGGCCTGTCGCACCTCCGCCCACCAGACAGCGCCAGCGTAAAAATCAAGTAAAATAACAATAGTACGTGTGTAGGATGACGGCGGCGTTCCTGAAGCGCATTAGTAGATTAGATATTATACATTACTTAATGATAGCTTTTTTATTATTTAATTATCATTATATTGTGCTATAATAACTACTATAATTATAGTATGCTATACTATAATTGACTATTGTCAATTATTTCGTCCATTAGTTAGTTTCAGCGTACTTAGTGGAAAAGTCATTATCTAAGTACTTATGTTCTACAAAATATCATGATGTATGAAATTCCAATGTTATGACGTCGTCTTTTACCCACAGCTTCACTCTAACCATATTGCTAGGTTACAATATTATTTTATAACTCAGTATTGGCCGCAAAAGTTTTATTAAATTTTATATTTTATTGGCTTATCGACGTCCAGGACAGTATGATCTACTAGCACCTAGAACTACAAGATTTTCCAAAATGTGAACCAGTATAAACTTACTGTTAAATCTATCTATAAAGACCATCGAAGGCGGGACCAAGATGAACTGGTCTTGTTTTTTATTACTTAGTGATGATTCAATCAAATATTAAGCGCGAATTATGTAAACAAGCGTACTACAGGGTGATTGATTATCTTGAGGATAGGAATGCTTGGCAGCGTGTTGGTTCGGCTCCACTGGACAATACTCAAATGTAGTCAGTACCTCAGTCAGTAGTTCAGATTACGATAATAGGTAATTTAACACTTTGATTCCGATGAAGGCAATCTATTTTTCTTGTGGCATCGAGCATTTCTTTCTTTATTTAAACAAGAGTATATTTTTTATTTTTTTCTTGTATAGAAGCACTATTTTATATGGATTGTCAGTATACATATGTGAGGACCATGTCAGACTTAAGATATTTGTTTTCTCTTGGTTTTGTTTTTTTTTTTTCTATTTTAGTATGTTCTGTTATTTGTATGTTGCTTCAGGTATGTCTTTACATTATTCTCACATGTGTGTACAATATTGGAATATGTATCAGAGCAATGTAAAACAGACTTTTTTAAAAGAGTAACGAATGGAGTTTCTTGCTCGTTCTTCTCCACTCGAATCGACATTTTGGAACGAGCGCCTAGCTTCACTGACGGACAGACTGACAGACTATTATATATCTCATATTTGTTGACGTTTCAAAAGTACCAAATTATGGTTTAATTGAAATAAATGCTTTTGAGTTTGAGTTTGAGTTTGA